CACCACCATGCTGAACTACAAGAGTTCTACTTAAATACTTTATTTCCATGCTGGGATGGGGCTTTTTGAACGGCTTTTCTTGGGTTTGACCGTTTATTCCATCGTTCCCACCATGTTTTCCCAGGAGTGTCGGTCACCAGCTCCATGGGTGGGGACAGGACCAGGACAGAGGGACACAGGGATGGGATAATGCCCCACAAGGAAGGAGAAGCCTCTTCCAGCCCGATCCGGGCCACAGCCAGCTCCTGGAGCGGGGACAGAGTCACCTCATGCCCTCTGCTTCCTCCCTGAGGAGGAGGATGGAGCATCCTCCACCGGGCACCCTGTGTCCACCGTGTCGCCATGGGAGGGTGCACAGAGCCCAGGTCTGGTCCTTGTGGTGCTGCTGGCTCATCCCCATGTACCCATGGGGTGAGAAATGGACGGAGAGGGGCAGGCAATTAAAAAGCATCAGGAGCTGGGACCTACTGCTGGGCTGGGTCCCCCTCACAATGTCCCCATGCCCAGCACTGATGTCCCCCTGAGCTGTCACTGCATCCAAGAGGTGAAACCAGGACCCCCCTGGCAGTGCCCGCACCCGTGTCACCTCCTGTCACCTCATCCCTGTGCCACCAAGAGCAAGGACCACCACACCGAGGAGACACCAGTTAAAAACCCCACTAGGAATGGAGAGAATCCTGCCAAAGCCCCTTTGGTGGCACTATGGGGTGCTGGGGCCTGTCCCCCTCCCCTTCCCAAGGGCAGGAGGTAGCAGGAGGAGGATGGTGCCGAAGCCCTGGAAGAGGGATGTGGGTGATGGAGGGGAGTCAGTGGGTGCTGAGGGTGGAGGTGATGGTGAGAGCATCCTCCTCCTGGATGGTCTCCAGCTCCTCGCTCTGCACCGCCTGCGTGATGAGGGTCAGCTCCTGGCACAGCGTCTCAAAGCGGTAGCTCACACGGATATCAGGAACATTGGTCCGACGGATGTCGTTGCCTTCAGGACCTTCCTTCAGGTAGTGGGGACCCAACCAGTAGCTCTTCACCTGGACACAAGAGCAAGGAGGAGCTCCCGCAGCTCTCTTGCACCCATGGGTGCTGGGATGGCTCCTGGATATGCCTTTGTGGAAGAAGCCACTCATGAGGACGCTGTTGCGGGCCAGCTCGCACATGTCGCAGGAGCTGAGCTTCCAGACCTGGGTGGCGATGCTGTACTCCTCCATCAGCGGCTCCTGGGGGTGGGGGAGACAGCCTCAGCACCCTCAGCACCCACCCATGGGTGCCCCACAAAGAACATGGGGGTCCACAGCATCTCCCACCCTCCCCGGACCATCAGCATCCTCTGGAGCTCGTTGGTAGGGTTTTGAATCATAGAATGAACGAAGTTGGAAAAGACCTCTAAGATCATCAAGTCCTCCTCCATCAGCGGCTCCTGGGGGTGGGGGAGACAGCCTCAGCACCCTCAGCACCCACCCATGGGTGCCCCACAAAGAACATGGGGGTCCACAGCATCTCCCACCCTCCCCGGACCATCAGCATCCTCTGGAGCTCGTTGGTAGGGTTTTGAATCATAGAATGAACGAAGTTGGAAAAGACCTCTAAGATCATCAAGTCCAACCATTCCCCAGCACTGCCTGGCCTGTGACTCCCACACTCAACCCCTCACCTTTGTGAAGTGGAACTGGAGGGGGTCATCAGTGGACAGAGACACCATGAGCCCCCGGGAGAGGTACTCAGGCAGCGGGTTGCGGTGGTAGCTGAGGAAGAGGCTGTTGTTGCTGAGCGGGGACATGGCGATGCCGATCTGTGCCAGGTAGTAGAGGTACTGCAGGACGGGGGCCTGGGGAGGAATAGCTGGGTGAGGGGGGTTCCCAAAAACACAGCCTGCTGTCCCCCCCACCCGTGGCACCCTGTCCCTGCTCACCTTGCGGAGCAGCAAGCCATGGGAGATGTTCTCCGAGACCATGAAGCCCGAGACAAGGTGATGGATGGGCCCGGCCTCACCGCAGTGCGGGCGCAGGACAAAGGTGTGGAAGCCTCTCTTCCTGCAACGTGGGGTTCACCATCAGCATCTGACCCCCCCAAGACCATCCCACGCCGGGCAGAGCTGCTGGAGACCCCAAGGTGCCCCTACCGTCGGAGGTGGTTGAGCACCGTCATGTTGGCGTACATATAGTACAGGTAGTAGGAGTAGGGTGGGTTGTCCTCCTCCACCCAGTTGCCCGGCAAGGGACTGTCCAGGTTGAAGATGTGATGCTCTGGTTTGGATTCATCATCCACGCTGTCGAAGCCATCCACCTGCAGGAGGGACAACCCAGGGTGGGATGGTCGCCCCTTCAATAGACCTGCTCCAGCCCTCAAGCAAGGTCCAGGCTGGGGTTATGGGTGTCACTGGTGTCCCCCATGCTCCCCCTGGAGCAGGACACGGTGCTCACATGCTCCAGGAAGAGGTGCAGCTCTGGGTGTTGGGCAGGGTGGACAGTGGCCTCATAGAGGGGCAGGAAGATGTTCTCCAGCATTTCCTGGAAGTTGGCCAACTGCTTCTTCGTCCGGTAGACATCACTGTAGGGGGATGGACCCCGCTTAGAGGGTCCCATCCCAAACCCACCCCAGCCGTAGTGGGATGTCCTTGGTCTCCCCACCCAGCACATGGCCCTGGTTGAAGGTATCTCCTGGTACTCACAAGAGCCGGGGGACCTGCACGAGCCAGCGGACGTTGTTGGAGTGGACGCGGTGGTTGACGGCCCAACGGGCCAGTTTGTCCCACTCATCCCGGGAGCGGCCGTAGATGGAGAGGCGCAGCTCCGCGTTCTGGTACTTGCTCTCCTCCAGGTCCGACATCACCTCCTGACAGGGACAATGTCACCCCTTGGCCACCATGGGCACCAAGGGAAATGAGGGAGATGAGGAGGGTCCCTCACCTTGATGATGTGGGCAAAGTACTTCCCCGAGACGCGGTTGTCCGTCTTGATGAAGATCTCCCGCAGGATGGACTCGCCGATGGGGTTGTACTTGGCATTGAACTTGTCGAAGCGGTGGAAGGTGTTGCGGTCCTGGCAGGAGGACACAGACGTGAGCCAAGACCCCAGAGCCACCACAACATCCCAGCGCAGAGCCCTCAGCATCACCCATCCCACCCCTGCAGAAGATGGGCTGGAGGCTCTGCTCATCTCCAGCATGTGGGGTGTCCCCCCTGTACCGCATGGACATCCAGCGTGTCCACACTCAGGTCATAGGCGGTGAGGTTCATCGTCTCAAAGACCTCCTTGAGCGTCTGCTCCTTGCCCTTCTCCACGTGGACAATCTCATCCAGGTGCTTCTTCATGGCCCTCTTGATGAAGCGTAGGAGATGCTTCTGGTTCATGCAGGATGAGGCGTGGATGTGGGTGTCCACCTGCACGGGCAGAGGTGGTGCTCAGCCCTGAGAGCCTCTCAGTGCCCCCTGGTCACAGAGGAGCCCAGGAGCAAGCAGGTACCTTGCGGATGTTGTAGAAGTCACGGTGAGGCACCTTCTTCTGGGCCGCCAGCTCCTTCATCTCATTGAGCAGAACATGCATCTGGAACTTGGAGCTCAGGTACTGCAGCCGGCGGTAGCAGAAGGATTTACTGCCCAAGGTGAGGATGGGGGTGTCAGAGAAGGAGAACATCCAGCCCCAAAAGGCTGGTGCCCACCAGGATGAGGGGATACGGCTCTGGACTTCTGGACCCCTCTCCATGTGCATGGATGGATGCATCGACATTGGAACTGCTCC